TTGTCTTATTGGCCTAACTCAGCACATTGTCTTAGAAGATGAAAACTCTTAGAAATCCTTCTGGAATGTGGGAGTTTTTACTCAGCAGGCGCTTAACGTTTCTTCTCCTGGGGATACACACTCACCTTCAGAGTCCGCTTGTCCTCATTGGAGAGCGTGAAGATAATTCGCAGGGTTTACTGATTTTCCTTCTTTCTTCAGTATGATATCTGTAGCAGGATTAGGTTCAGGCACAACTCTAAGGCACTTTATTCAAAGTTTTGATACAAGATTGTATCCTCTTTCTTATTCGATTGCTACTAGCAAAGTTTTAGAATTTTTGTTGAAACTATGTTCTGGTCATTTTATAAGGTACCAGAGGAGAGAGAGTCTGTGACTCTGCTTCACCCTGCCATCTCTACTGGAAAGTCCCATGCTAGTGTTTTTTTTACAATTCTATAGGGGTTTCAAAAACATTACACACCTCTTCAGCCTGGGTAGCCCTAGGCGTTGTGGTGTTTATGTGCTGTCGACCTCACAGTTTTGTGGTTGTTAGTGTTATTGGGAAGTAGGGAGATATTGGACATTTCCTGCCTCAACTTAGCAGAACAACTGATTGCATTTCACCACGGGATGTTGCTGATGACCCTGGGGAAACCCGTCTCCGTGGAATGGTGGGGGCAGGAGCCAGGCTGGAGGGGATGGAGCAGAGAATGAACAATGAGGAAGTGGGAACAGTGACTTTAGACAGTTAACGGAGGCTGCCTAGGAAGAGGGAGAGTAAGTCGTGAGTAATGTGTGGGGTGAATGGTGGGTTTATAGTCTTTATTGGAGGGAGAGATCTGAGCATTTTAAAAATCTGGAGAATCCAATAGAGAAAGAGAGGACGGAGCCGAAATAAAATGTAGAAACGACTGATAGAAATTAGAATGACATCCGGAGCGCAGGAGAAATCAGCCTTTGACATAAGAGGAGCATCTCTGTCCATGGAAAGAGAAAAGGGAGATGGCCACAGTTACGTTTGAAGCTGTGGACCAGGAAGTTGCGAGAGATCCAAGAAAAGCAGGAGATGAGGTTCTCTCCTGGGCATAAACGTAGGTGGTGGGATGGGGGAGTTTGAAGAGATTGGGTGAGTTTTAAATTGCTTGAAATAGCTGATGGAAAATAGGAGAAAGTGACAATTTGGGACCCTCAGAAGAATTACCAGGGGAACCAGAGACTCTCCGGAAGCTCGTTGAGCCTGGAGACCATGCATGAGTGATGGCGCTTGTCTTCATGGCTAAGTGGTGTCGACTGTTCTCAGAAACACATACTCAGTGGATGGATGGAGGAGAGAAATAGGTGGATGGTTTGCTCTAAGGCTGGGGCTTCAAGGGAGGTCAGGGTGCTGACCAGAGGATGACCAAGTGACAGATTGTTGTTGCATCTCAGCTAGACAGGCAGAGGCTGGAGGGCTTGATGAAGGACAACAACCATCACAGAAAAGGTCAACGAAGTGAGGAAAACCAAAGACTAGAAGCTGTTATCAGAGACTGAGCAATTTTAAGAGTTCAGGGGGTGGATCCGTGTTAACAAACCCGAAATCTGACCTTGAGCGTGGACGTCAGTGGAATCAAACCAAAAGGCCAGTGAAGTCAAGTTAATGAGCTAAACGACCTGGCCACTGGACGGGGGTCGACGTGGGCAGTTCAATCCCCAGGATGATGGAGGACACTGGTGAATAGAAATCCCTTATCCACGTACACGAGTCTGAGATAAAAGACGGGCACGATGAGGCTGATGGTGGCGGCAATGAGGTGGAGAAGAGGGTCACGCAGCAAGAGGGCTGGAGACCAAGTAGCCTCGTATACAGACCGTCCCCAACTTACAATGGTTCGGCTTAGGGTTTTTCCACTTGATGATGGCACGAGGGATACGTATAATAAATTCCGTGAGAGAGTCAACACTTTATCACGAAACAGGCTTTGCGTGAAGAGGCTGGTGATGAGAAATAGAAGGTACATGACCTGAGGAGTTGACAAAAACTGACCGGGAAAGGGACGTGATGGCACTAAGCATTTTGGGTGCCAAAAAAGACTGCTCCCAGCGGGCCCTAGGTGGATGGTGGGCCGGATCTGCGCTGTGGTCAGGTAGCTTTCCCGGCTCACTTTGCAATCTCTCTCAGAGACCTTCTCGCTGATACCTTCCTTCTATGCCACACCTCATCTCGGCGTCTGTGTCTCGGAGGCCTTGGGCTGACACGGCCTTGGAAGGCGGGCATCTGTCTAGAAAGTCTTCAGTCCTTTGCCGACTGGAGAATGATATGTTTTTGCAGCATCTTAATCTCTCTCTTATCTTTGAGGGTCAATGGAACATGGAGAATATTTCTGCATCGTCTGTAAAATTATTGCTAAATTCATTAACCAGTGTGTTTTCCAACCTCCCTGGTATAAATAAGAACTTCGTACGTACCAAGAAAGGATGAGAAAATGAGCATTAATTATTGGCCCTAACCATTGGCTATTTCGGCCAGGCACTCTCTGACCATCCGAGGTGAACCACGAACCCCCAAAACCACCCTGATCTCCCCGTTCTCCCTCTTGCTTTGCTTTTCTCCACAGGACTTCTCTCTTGCTACCCTATGATGTACTTACTTATTTTGTTTTTTTCTATAGAGCATGTGCTCCGTGAAGGTCCAGGTGTCTGCCTATTTTGTTTGTACCTGGAACAGCACTGGGCACATGCTAGGCACTCGATAAATACTCGTTAAATAAGTGAATTGAATAAATGAGGATCTACATGTACGAAGGAATGAGATTTGTAACGTGATAGCTTCTTAGACCGAAATTGGGGAACCCAGGCCCTAAAGGGTAAGGTTTGTCACCCACATGCCAAATCCACAGAGCGCGATCAAGTTTCACAGACAGCGAGGACCTTATGGTTCCAGGTGTTTGGATGGTAAATAAAACTTTCCTTTTGCCTCAAGTTCAAACTTCTCCACCATTCCTTTCCACGACTCCAGGAGTTTCCAGAATCCCATGGCCTTGGAGATCTACTACACGGTACAACGATTACGGACGGCAAAACAGTATTATAAACGCGAAACTCGTTAAGAGGAGGGATGTTAACTGTTGCTACCACTAGAACGAATGGTAACAATCATGGGACTGTGACAGAGGTGTTAGCTAATAATGCTCCGATGGCAATCATATCGCTACATAAACGTATCGGATCAGTACCATGGTATACCGTAAATGTACACGCTGTCAATAAAAATATGTCCCTTTTTAAAATAAGGAATCCCGTGGCCTGTGTGTGGATCAGCAGAATGCTGGGAATCGAGCCAAAATAGAGCAATACTGAAAGCGAAGGCCACGCTGACACTGAGAAGTCAGGGCAATCCTGAATTTACAAAACGGTGCTTTTCTTTGGGAAACTTCAAATTTCACAAGACTCTGGGACACGTGCGAGGCACCCGCCTGGTGATACTTACTCTGCTTTTCCCCGTCACGTGCAGGGTGTTCACTCATGGGGTTTTTCGAGTCTCAAAACTGGACTTGACCTGGGACTGACCAGTGAGCACCGGGCCATTAAAGCATCATGAGCCGCTGTCACCTACTCACTCCAGGTTCTGGGGGGCCCAGGTGTGGCTCCCAATAGCCCTGCTATAGGAGACGAGCCCCAGGACGAAGGACCCCTGCTGGTCCCAGGGCTGTGGCTGCCACCAGTGGGCAGAGCTTCCCACGGCACGGTGACCCTGCCTCCCTCACAGAAGCCCATGGTGGGGGGGAAGGGAGAGAGGGACGGCTCGTTGAGAAGCAGTCACAGCCTCGGTTCTCACCAGCACCAACCCCCCCACACGCGGAGGGACGCCCTGCGTTTCCCTTTGAGTTAAATTTAACGTTCAATCGCATATCCGTCTTATGTTTATTTTTCCATTCTCTTAAAGCTTTCCTCATTTCTCGGTCTATCTTAACAGGTCCCCGTTCTGAATCAGACACCTGTTTGGCGTGAACAGGATGTCGTTCGACCAGCGATACAAATGCTCAACCCATCCACGAGACCTCAGGTCAATCACAGATGCAAAGACTTGATCCAGGAGAAGGTCATACAGATTTTTCAGTTCTCTCAAGTTCCTCTTCTCAGATCATCCTTCTTCCAAACCGCCCCCCTCCCTGCTCCCCACAACCTCCTCCCACCACTCCAAATCTGGACGCTTCTCAGTTTCCTCTCTCCGGCCTCAAACCTCACCCCCCGCCCCCCAGCCTTGTCTGGTGTCGAGCTCATGTCCCTCACATTCACTGCAGCTCTGACTTGGAGAAGCCTCTGGGTCCTCATCACGGAAATTTCCTGCGCCGGGTTCTCCTCCTCCGAGGTGGGTCAGCCCCTAAGAGCTTACTTCTCTCCTCGGGGTCCCACATCAGTGCTCACAGCAGCCCCACGCTCACTGGCGCCGAGGCCCCGCTTCTGCCCGCCTCTCTCTCCAACAGACACGACTCTGTGGCTTCCACTGCCATGAAGTCCTCTCTTGGGACCTCATCCTTCAGCTAAAGCATCCAGTGTCTCTCAAAAGTGACAATAAAAACCCAAGCGCCACAGCTCACTGGGGTCCTCAGTACAAGTTCTCGAAGGCCGTCCTGACTCAGGGAGGGGGCTTCTGCTCACGTTGATGAGAGGCTGCGGGGGAGCCTTGGGCCGCTCAGGTCTGCAAGGGTGACTAGGTGACACTTTTCTCCCTGCTGCTCCCTGCACAGTGTTACATGTCAGAAGCACCTTCTTATCCCTCCGTCACTATCACCGAGGAGCAGCGTAACTTAGTTCCCTTATCTGGGGCAGCCAGGAGAACGGCTGTATGAAGGCCACACGGAAATCGGAGGCGGGGTACGGGGGAAGTTGGAGGAGAAAACAACCTCCCCGTTTCTGTCAGAGGCTTGAGACACACTCCGGGGCCTGGGGAGCTTTCAAGTGGCTTTATGTCAGTCAGTCCCCGAGACCCGTGACCTGTGGGCAGAGCTACTGGGGACACACTGCGGTTTCTCTCGTCCCTAGGGGTCAGGATCCTCTGTTCGGAAGGAAGCCAGTCTTCCCACTGCCCCGGGCCATCCCCACTGCAGCTCACATGGTGGGTCGGGAGGCTGCCTTCGCCCCAGGAAGTCCGTCAGCCGGTAAGTCGTCCGCGTATTTAGCCAGCTATGTCCATGTTGATGCTCAGGATGGTTTCGCTTCTGCGAACGTTTGTTCAAATCCTTCGAGCCAAGAACTCAGACCTCTCAGCCTGTCACAGGAAGCTGTTTCGGTGGGTGAGCAGACTTTGTAAAGTGTCGAAACTGTAACTGACACCAGCTTTGTGAAACTAAACCATGGCACTTGGTTCTCTCACTGTGTTTTCTTGCATCTTGTGTACAAGTGGGCAAGTCTTGTGTCTGTCCACCAGGAGAGTGACATTCTTTGAGGAAGTGTCCTGCCTGCTTGTATTTGCCCGTGGGAGTAGCAGACAGCTAAGCACCTAAGTGCTTAACGAATAGATGGTTCTAGCAGCCGTACTCAGGAAGTAGGGACATGCTAAAGAAATGTTCGTTCTCCATCTTCTGAGCCGTAGACCTCCTCTGGCTAAAATCAAACCCCAGGAGAGGGAAAGCCTAGCTGCACGGACCAGCAAACCAGTCCTGTTTGCTGCTTCCTGCAGGAGCACACAGCTAGCTGTATGAAGGAAAAATAATGTTTCACCTCCCCATAGGGCAGCCAGAAGATGGCTAATTACACGTCGGCACCGGACAGTGAAGATTATGATGTCTTCATAGAGGACAATCTGAACAACAGTGGAACAGAACAGTGTGACCACTATGACGCCAAGATCCTGTCCGCCCAGCTCGTGCCTCCGCTCTACCTGGCGGTGTTCCTGGTCGGTCTCCTGGGCAACGGCTTGGTGGTGCTCGACCTGGTAAAATTTAAAGAACTCAAGCGTGTGGAAAATATTTATTTCCTCAACTTGGCAGTTGCTAATGTGTGCTTCTTGCTTACCCTGCCGTTCTGGGTTCACAGTGCCTTACACGGGGGGCTGCTGGCTGACCCCACGTGCAAGATTCTCGCCGCTCTCTCCTCCGTGGGCCTGCACGGCGAGGCGTTGTTCAGTGTCCTTCTGACTGTGTTTTTCCACAAAAGAAGCTTTTCCTCAAGTGCCAGGAAGGTGCCCTGTGCCACCGTCACAAGTGTCGTGACGTGGGCAGCAGCCGTGCTGGTCGCTTTGCCCGAATTCCTGTTTTACCAACCTCAGACGGGAAGCCAGGAACCCGAGTGTTTCTTCAGTGAGCTGCATTTTCTCCCAGGGGACGAGACGTTCTGGAAGTATTTTCTCACCTTAAGGATGAACATCGTGGGTCTTCTGGTTCCCCTGTCGGTTTTTATCGTTTGCTACGTGCGAATGAGAAAAACGCCGAGGTCCCGGGGGACGAACCGTGACCTTCTCAAGCTCGTTTTTGCCATCCCGTTTGTCTTCCTTCTGATGTGGGGACCCTACGCCACCGCGCTTTTCCTGTCCACTTTCAAGGACTACTTCCCCCTGCGCGGCTGCAAGGGCGGCTACGCCCTGGACAGGAGCGTTCAGGTGACGAGAATCATCGCCACCACGCACTGCTGCGTCAACGCGCTCCTCTACGTGCTCCTGGACCAGGCCTTCTGGAGACGCCTCTGCGGCCCTTGCCATCCGTGCGGTCGTGCTCCGCTCCCACCCACCGGGGATGCAGCACAAGATGCGGCGTGGGCGGAACACCACCGCGCCACCGCGGTGTGACCTGGCTTCCCTCCGGACGGGATCAATAAACGTTCGTTTTTGTCCCGTTGCGCTGTTCTGCGTGACTCTTTTTTTTTCTTTTTTTTTTACGTATTTGTATGCGAAATAGATACAGGAAGAAAAGGGGGATGCGAGCGAGGATTTGCCGAGCGCCGAACGCACGTCGGGCGCGATGCTAGATGCTTCAGGGACCTGAGCAT